AATCCTTGTGTTATTGATGTCATGTAATATTCTAATTTTCTGAGATTGTCAATTTGGGGTTCACAGCAAGTATAAACAAATTTAATAACTCTTCACCAATTATAAGGTTAAACAGGTATCTCTTCATCCCATATAATTTATTTTCTTTTTCTTTTCTTTCCCTGCACTTTTTATTCTTTCTTTCCATTCTATTTTCTTTCTCTAAGTGTACTTTGTATTAGGTTCTATTACTGTAATTAAAATTCTTAATAAAAATTGTATTTAAAAAAAAATGAGTAACTGAGTAAATTTGAAGGGAGAGTAAGTTCTAAAGCCAGGATTGGGTAACTACTAACAGGCTATGCAAGTACACTGGCTTCCGCCACACACTTTAAATTTAATATAGGGAACTCTGCCTTCTTTGTTTAAAAAGAGTGACTCTCTAGCACTCATTGTGCAACCTAAGTTTTAAAATACATCTAATCACTAAGACATTGTTAGGAACCAAACCTGCAAACTATACACATAGTGTTATAATACAGTATGCCTATTAGTAATATTCATTCATTTTAACTGTTTATTTAAATAATATTGGCTCCCATATTACAGATACCTTGTGACAAGCATGATAAAATAAGATATAAACTGAAGTAACAACAATATAAACACTGCATTAAAAATCCAAACATTAGATAAACTTTCCAGCTATTAAAATATTCAAAGCATTAAAAAGATGGAAGAGGGAAGAAGTGGCTATAAGGATGGAAAAGGAGCGGGAAAAAAGTACTATTTGTGAATTGGTGACCAGGAGACAACTTAGCTATGCAAGCAGAGTTTATAATGCATGAAGCAACCCTCATTGCAATGGCCAGGTACAAGAAGACACTGCTCAAACAGAAAACCTATGCAGAACTCTTATGGAAGAGACAACATCCCTTCTGTAATCCAGAGACAATACTGAATTGGCCATTCAGGGAAGCTTTACTGCCCGTGTTTTATCACATGTTCACAACTCAAGTTTGCCCCATCATCCTTGCTTTGGTCAAGAGATCTAATATGTGGTTACTGGACAAGCCATGCTTGAGAAGAAGAAGAAGGACACTTATCTGAGGGCCACATTTTTGCAATGCCCAAAGTTATTAGGACCTGGGAAAATAATTTGATTTAGAAATAGGGTTTAATATTTTCAGATATCCATATCCTCCTTCTGGCTGGTGTACAATCTCTGGGTGTTGGACTTGGGGTGGAAACCTTTGTACATTGTGAGGAGCTTTCAGGTCTTCACATTGGCAGCGTCCGTGTCCTCCTTTGGCCAGCTCAATATACTGGCAGGGTATTTGATGATGACTGGCAGGGTGTACGTGTTGATGGCATGGATCTTGTTCTTCCCATTGAGCTGGCTTTTCAGGACCTGCCTTATCCTTTGGTGGTGCTTGGAT